ATGCATACAAGCGCTCATTTAAAAAAGTGTTACTTCCAAAATATTAACATTTTTTTCATTTGTTTTTTGGTTGAAGGAAGGCGTTAAATGATACCCCTTTTATTATTTGTTCCATGCATAACCACTTTGTAGTGTATACACAACAACCAAAAACTAATAATCCTATATTAATCCAAAATATACACTTGAAAGCTTAATTACCGGCTGGTTTGAAATTCCCGGAGACGACGTTGTCGGAGAATCTTGATGAAAAAGACCAAGGCATTTCAAGATAGCTTTGAGAGTTTGGTCGAGACACTGAAGAGGAATACATAGGTAACTTTCTTCTTCGCTTCGTCTATCTGATTTCTCCATTGAGATCTGATGAGATGAATAAAACTTTTATTACTCGTATTGATTTTGGTGAGAGAAGTGAAGCTGTTCTTTAGATGTGAGTGATTGAGCAGATAGACAACTTTGCCTTTTATAGTGGGCTAACTCGGTATTTGGTGTGACTCTTTATATTATAAAATACGTTTTCTTAAATCGTGACTTTGGAATATGAATAATTAGTCCCTTTTATGTGTCTTTGATTAATTAGTTGACAAAAAATAATCAAGAAATGCAATTAATTCATGCATAATTATTAATTTTATTTGTTGTTGTTATTAGTGAAAATAAGCGCGCATGTGGCTTTTGGCTTTAGGTAGGTTGATGACTCAACTAGTTCACTCGTCGTCGTCCGATGACGAATGTTGGACTATAGAATATAGATTGAATAGTTATTATTTCTCATACTAGTAAGTTTGGATCAAATTATAAAATTACGATCGAAAAAATTATTTATGGTCACTAGAATTTTCAGGCAACTCGTGAAACCACGAGGAAAATGTAATAAAACAAATGTATTTAAAAGTTGGCGTTTGTTTCACGTGGTCACCACTTGTGAGTTGTAAGAATTTTCTCAATACTAGACTTTTAGGCGTTCACTCGTGGAGACCAGCGAAGAAGTTTATGTTGTATTTATGTGTTGATTGATCTAACTAACTCAATTATTTATCTGTTTAAATATAACCTGTCACTATAATTTACTTATTTTAAAGACATAAAAACATCTTCCGCAACATCTAAAAAACTAGACAGCTAAAGAAAGTTTGGTAAAAAATGTCAAAGCAAGTCAGATTAGCTTGTACTACATATATATCCATGATTTTTTTTGGTAAAGAATGGTACGTCTTCGACAATTGGTTCCGATTCAAAAGTATATATTATATATAGTTCTGATCTGATGTGTCACTCGTTTATAAAAACAGACGTCGTGTGGTCAAATATTGTTGTCTTGAGAAAAAAAAAATGACAAAAGAGCAAACAAATATAGACAACGTGTACGACTCTTCCATAAATAATGGAAATTTGAAGTTTTGATTTAAAAACTAAAAAGACAAAAAAAAGGAGCAAAGACTCATTGGTGATTGGTCTCTTGGGACTCCAAAGACTTCTTAATTAACCCTCCTCATAAACTTGTATTGCTGCGTTGGGTATTATATTAGTTTGGCCAGGACTACCTGAACTAGGCTTTTCTTTATCCCTTTTCTTTGCTTTGGCCTTCTTGCCTCTAGTCGACGACAAAACGACATCATCGTCTTTCATGGCAACACCATCGTCTTCCTCTTGTTCATCCTACGTTTAGATTCATATTACTTACGTATAACATGTATTGGCAGGTCTTAAAACCCAAATTAAATACATAAACTTTACTAATATGATATACATCGTCATCCAAACGAAATCAGATTAATTAACTAGGATTTCAAATATTTTCATTTAAAAATAAAAATAGCTAATTATTAGTCCTTACTAATGAGAATTAATAAATCTACACACACAAACGCTTCTAATTAGTTTCCACAACAATTTTTGTTTTTAATTAAAAATCGCATAGTACACTAAAATATACTAGAATCTTGTAAAATTGATAAATGCTGTTAAACAAAGCTTACCGGCTGGTTAAGAATCAGAGGAGGCGACGCCGTTTTCTTCGCCGTCGGGCAAAGAAGACCAAGACATTTCAAGACAGCTATGAGAGTTTGGTCGAGAATTTGAAATGGAATACATAGATAAGTTTCTTCTTCGATTCGTCTATCGAATTTCTCCATTGAGATCCGATAGTTTGGTATACAGTTTCTTAAAGACTTTGGACTATTATTTGTTTTAGTCAGCTTTAAAATTTTTAATTACTTGTTGACAAAATAATGAATTAGTTCATGCATTTACAATAAACTAATTTGGTATTATCAGCAAAAATAAGCAAGTGGCTTTGGATGACTCTAAATAGTTGACTGACTCTATGTGTGTACCCAACAACTTTATTTCAAAGATAGTTCTAATAAATTGGTTGGTAATAATTTAATGACAACCGAGAAGAGTTAATTATTCGAATTCGAATGACTAACGTTGGTCTTAAAATTTGGCTTTTGTTAATGAAATCAACCTTTAAGAAAACATTGATCGTAAATTAGTAATCAGTATTTTTCACATTTAATTGATCATTTTCCATGATTTAAAATTTTGCTAAATTAGTTTAACTCTTAATTTAAAACGTTAGATTGATATCACATGCATGCAGCTAAGTAAGCTAAAAAGTTCTCTTCAAATATATACCACCAAAAATAACCGCATTTAAGACAATTTTAACCATAGTGACAATATCGTTTTCACGTAAAAAGAAAAAACGAATGCGTTGAGTCAACTCGTTCGTGTTACCCCGACAATTTCACCTTTTTCATTAGTACTACTTTACAAGTTTCTTCAATCTCTTCCTACTCGATTGCTACGATCAACACATAATAAAAACGTGTTATAGTATGTTCTCTCTTCTTCTATTCACAAAGAGCTTCAATCATCTCTCTTTCTTAGATTCTTGTCTCAAAGAATCCTCGGTATCTTCTTCGGTACTCCGGTCAATCCCGAAACACTTTAGAAATGCAGATCCTGCCAGCCTAAACAAAGTACACGGATGATGCAAACTATGACTTGAATCTTTGTCCAACGAACCTTCTGCTTCCTCTGTTCTTGTCACTCTCCTTGTTACAGCTGGTGTTATCTCTCCTTTTATGCTTTGAGAGCTTCCAATCTGTGTGATTACAAAAACCGATAGGTTCATTAACAAACAATGACACCAATGCACGTCACGATGAATCCAGTCAACATATAAACCACACAAACTTAATGAGGACTGTTTGGTTCTAACCATTTTACGGATCCATAATCTAAATGTTTTTTTAGAATCCAAGAATCTCTGAGTCATAATCTGGAATCAACACTAGACATATCTGTGTAAAGAAAGCCAAGAGAGGAATCTAATATTGTTGGTTAAAGAAATGACTAGACATATCAACTAAGCAAGCAAATAGCTTTAAAAACAAGGGAACAACACCATCCTGGGTTCGTTACCTAAAAGCCACAACCAACAACATTGAGAGAGACATTTCAAAGAACATCAAAACACATACATACATACATACATACACATGTAAAACCCTGATGGTTATGGCGTTAATGTCAAAAACCTTGAAGACTATTAACCGCAACGAATATGATCCAGAAACCATAATTAGGATGATTACATTTCCTATGTTTAGATAACTTTTCACTATTTACTAATTTCAGAACCCAGAATATTGAAAAAGCCATCATTTCAACTTTTAGCTAACACTAACATTCAAATGTGGGCTACTACTTCCCAGCTAATTATGGCTGCCACTTAATTCTTAATTGCAATCTAAACCCCTCAAGTTCCATAAAACTCCTGCAAATTCCCCATTACTTTTGTTCCCATTCCCAGAAACCACAATGAAGAAACTGAACAGAAATCGTCTCAGACTAGTAATTATCTAACTCAGCATTCGAATCTCAAGAGATCTCGGTTTGGGAATAGTAAGTCAACGTAGAGCAGGTACGACTAAATCCGAGAATCGTCGAAGAAATTGAAAGAGACAGATAGATTTAGAGTACCTGGTGAGACTGTATGAGACTTGAATTGACGGAAAACCCCAAACCATGGTGGCTGATCGGAATCGGATTTCCAGAAAGAAATCGTTTAGAAAGAGATGAACCAGAGGTAGAAGGAACAGAATCAGAAGATGAGCAATTGTTATCTCCGATATCTAAGGAGAAGATTCCGACGACGCAAAGGAGGAGTAAGAGGAGGACGAAGACGAACATTTGGATCCAAATTAACCATGGGATACTATTGTAGCTATCTAACATCAAAAACTCTTTCCCGGAATCTACCATTTTCTATGGAAAGACAAGAATTTTCCCGGGAAGAGAGATTTGAGGAAACGATTGAGGAGGAGGAAGAAGAAGAAGAAGACAATCAGACGAAGAAGTTGGGTGAAGGAAAAAGGATAAAACGACGGAGCTGTGATATTCAGGTCACCGCAAGAGAAAATAACGGCAAAAAATCTTGCTTTTGTTGGTAGTCCACGCGTAACGCGTTAATTGGTTAAACAGGTGAAAACACGTGATCTTTGTAAATCTTTTTAAAGGAATCATCCCTGATTTTATGTAATTTTTTTAGTGTTTAGATAATCTCTTAAAATTCGATGTCAAAAAAATTTAATTAGTCATTCTTGGTTATTGGATTAAATTAGCTGTGAGAAAACTTATCTAATAAATTTATTGCGATTGGTGGACTTGTCCTGTACTCAATGTTTTTAATTTAGCTATAAATGTAAAAATTTAGTAGTTAAAAAACGTACAAATTTAGCTATAATAATCTCTTGGATCTGCTATATTTCTATAGAAAATTCACATGAGATATAGATGCCCGAAATTTCTTGGATGTTTCAACTATATCCACCATATATTATTAGTTTTTTTTATATATATATATATACATTTTTGGAGTACATTTAGTAAATAAATTCTGGAGTTTCACCTTATTTAAGGATAAATGCCATTAGCATTAATTATTTAAATTTTAAAAAAATTAATTAAAAATAGTACCAACACGATTTCGAGATCATAATATCAGATCTTCCTTAATTTTCTAAGTCATTAATGTGATAATATTTAGGAAATATTTTTCTGTAAAAAAAATCCACATTAAGAAAGGCATTAAAATCGACACTAACAATTAAATTATTTAGATATTCAATTGTTTTAAGATTCTTATATCTTATTTGATATTCTTTTTTTAATATCTCATTCTTTAATTACTGCGTTTAGAATTTATTGATTGTTACCTATTTTTGGTGAAATTTATTGGTTGTTACTTATATGGTATACCTCTATCTATATTAACATTTGAATTTAGGATGTACAAATTCAAATATTAATAATATTTATACTTTATAAGCATTATAAATATTAAAAATATTTAAACTTTATTAAAGGTTAAATTTTATAATTCTTTAATTTTTAAGAAGTTAAACTTTATAAAAAGTTTAACCATCTAAATATTTAAATTTTATAAAACGTTTAAAGTATTTATAATATTTAAATTATATAAAAAGTTTGTAATATTAATAATATTTCAACTCTATACAAATTCAATATATATATATATATCTTATGGGAACCATTTAAAAGAAAACTTTTAAATTGACTCGAATTATATATCTTTTAAATAAAAGTATCATTAAAAAGAAAATTAATTAAATGATGTTTAATTTCACCGGACGGGTAGAATGATGGGACAAGTTTGATTTGATATTTATAAAAGATAGTATATCACGAGTGAAATCCTAAAATTAACAATCAAAATAATCTATCAAACAAATTATATTTTGATTTTTTTTAGGAAAATATAGTCCCGTAGTACAATCTAGTACAAATAAATAAAGTTAAAGATAAACATAAAATACCATCACAACTATAAAGAAAATCTACATGTATTTATCATTAGATAAATAAATAAATAAGGTAGGTATGTATCAAAATATAAGATTTCCACATAATTCAATTGTCATCATCAATAATATAAAATTTAGCCAAAAAAGTTATATAATCTTGTAAAAAATCGATGTTTCAATGAAATTTCGTAGAAAGTACAAAAGAATATAGTTATATAAGTAACAAGAAAATATAGTACATGTTGACAAAAATAGAAAAATAAATAAATAATCCGTGTATATTAAAATATATAAAAAAGTAGTTGAAGAGAATATTTGTTTTTTTCCTTTTAATTTTATCCACCTTTTTTTTTTTCTTTTCCCTTATTCGTTTTTTTCCTTTTATTTTCCTATTTACGCGTATTAAAAACTTGTATATAAGTAAAAGCCTCTTTTATGATCTCTCCACACACACAAACAAACTCGTATCAGAAAAATCCCTAAATCTCAACAAAACCCTAATTTCAAAGAAGAAGAATGAGTTACAGAGTCGCTAAAGCATCGCAGTATCTTGCGATCACCGGTGGTGGAATCACAGACATCAAGCTTGCCAAGAAGTCATGGGTGTTTCCATGGCAGTCTTGCACCGTCTTCGACGTTTCTCCCGTGAACTACACGTTTGAGGTTCAAGCTATGAGTTCCGAGAAACTTCCCTTTGTTATTCCGGCGGTTTTCACAATCGGCCCTCGCGTTGATGACCCTCACGCTCTCTTGTTGTACGCCATGCTTATGTCTCAACACGATAAACACTCGAATCACGTCAATGAGCTTGTTCAGGGTGTTATCGAAGGAGAGACTCGTGTTCTTGTTGCTTCCATGACTATGGAAGAGGTCTTCAAAGGTAAACAAAAACACACGTTTTTTGATTATCTTCTTATATACAGAATCTTGTTTGATTCTTTAATAATTTTTTTTTGCCCTAGGGCCCATAAAAATGTTGAGCCGGCACTGTTCTTATGTTTGTGTACATGTATAATCTCTGGATCCTTGTTTCATCAAATTGTGGAATTGTAGGAACAAAGGAGTTCAAGAAGGAAGTGTTTGACAAGGTTCAACTAGAGCTAAACCAGTTTGGTCTTGTTATCTACAACGCCAATGTGAAGCAGCTTGTTGATGTGCCTGGACATGAATACTTCTCTTACTTGGGCCAGAAAACTCAGATGGAAGCAGCAAACCAAGCCAAGATCGATGTAGCAGAGGCAAAGATGAAGGGAGAGGTTGGTGCCAAAGAAAGGAATGGACTCACAATCCAGAATGCAGCCAAGATTGACGCTGAGTCAAAGATCATCTCCACTCAGAGGCTAGGAGAAGGGACAAAAGAGGAGATCAAGGTGAAGACTGAAGTCAAAGTGTTTCAGAATGAGAAAGAGGCTCTTGTTGCTAAGGCTGATGCAGCACTGGCGATTCAAAAGGCTGCTTTGTCCCAAAACTCTCGTGTGGCTGAGGTTGAAGCATCCAAGGCTGTTGCTTTGAGGGAAGCTGAGCTTCAGACTAAAGTCGAGAAAATGAATGCATTGACTCGGACAGAGAAGCTTAAAGCTGAGTTCCTCAGTAAAGCCAGTGTTGAGTATGAAACTAAGGTAATGCATATATCTCAATCATTAGACTTTGCAAGGATTTTCTATTTTTTGTATCATGACATGACATTGTTGTTGTTTATACACACAGGTGCAAGAAGCGAACTGGGAGTTATACAATAAGCAAAAGCAAGCAGAAGCTGTTCTTTACGAGAAGCAGAAGCAAGCGGAGGCGATGAAAGCAGCAGCTGATGCTGCCTTCTATTCTAAACAGAAAGATGCAGAGGGGCTTGTGGCAATGGCCGAAGCTCAGGGGAAATATCTCAAGACCCTCTTAGGCGCAGTTAACAATGATTACTCATCCATGAGAGACTTCTTGATGATCAACAATGGCATTTATCAAGAAATCGCCAAAACCAATGCTCTGGCGATCAGGGACCTGCAGCCTAAGATCAGTGTGTGGAACCATGGTGGTGCCGAGCAGGGGATGAACGGTGGTGGTAAAGGTCCGATGAACGATATTGCTGGACTATACAAGATGTTGCCACCGGTTCTTGACACGGTTTATGAGCAGACCGGGATGCAGCCACCAGCTTGGATTGGTACACTACGTGGTACTGAGCCCAAACAATCACTTCAGGCTCAACAACACAGAGGTTGAGATCTCAAGTGTTGTTGCTTCTTTAATTATTATTTTTAGCTTTTGGGTTTGTTTTCTTATATGTTTTAGAGAAGTTGGAAGTCAGCGTTTGAAGATATAAAACAATAGTATCTGACAAATGTGACTTTGACTAGGGATTTCAAAGGATATGTGTCTTTTTTTTAAATCAAATTTCAAGTGTTTAGTTATTACTTACTACTATCGCGTGTTGAAGTTATCTTTCTTCTCTCTGGATACGGATTATAAACATATGATTTATTTACGTTTGATAGTTGAATGCAATTGTGTAGATAGATGGACCTTCCAGATAGATACCTAGAAAAGACCTACATATGTGTTGAATGTTATTAATCTATCTACATATAGTTGTCACCATCAGATAAATAGTTAAACACCACCTACCACTTTATTATGATGGCTACTGTTTTTTAATGCCTCAGGGGACCATCCTCCAATAATTTTTTCCCTCTATGGGAATGAATATCTTTAAGAATGGTCCTGACCTCTCTGTGAACTGCAAATTCCTCTTTTTAGCAAAGAGTATCAATTACGGAAGCTGCATACTACTAGTGAATATTGACCACTGAATTAAAATTATATTTATAAACTATAAAACTGAAAACATTTAGCTGTAAAATAATAATGAAATGTGATTTATTACTTTGGAAATAGTAGGATCCAATCTCGTCGGCCTAAAAAGCCCAAAATACGGGCCTTGAAAATGGCGCCATTCACGAGATTTCCTTACACCGCACGTGATGATCACGTGATATCTCTCTCAAAGAGCAACAAAAATATCTCTCGACTGCTTTTTTTGTTTCTGGTGTGTGGGAGTGGGAGTGGAGCTTTGAATTGATGATCATTATCCATGTCGATTCTTAGCTCGTCTCCTTCACTCTGTTCTTCTCTCAATCTTTTCCGATTATCCTCTCCGGTATCATTATCGGACGCAGCTTTCGGCGGGAACAGGACAAAGCCGTCGCAGTCGTTTCGAATGGAGGCCGTTTCGAGTAGTTCCACTTCTATTTCATGTATTAGCGTCGGCGAAGATTTTCCAGCAGAGTATGAGCAGTGGCTGCCGGTTCCGGATCCAGAGAGCAGGAGAAGAGCTGGCGTTTTGCTCCACCCGACGTCGTTTCGCGGTCCTCATGGCATTGGTGATCTCGGAGATGAAGCCTTCCGCTTCATCGATTGGCTTCATTCTACTGGTTGCTCCGTTTGGCAGGTCAGTAATTAATCTCAAGACTAGATGAAATTAACAGAGCAACGTTGATGATATATTACTAGTAAATCGCAGGTTCTTCCTCTGGTTCCACCAGACGAAGGAGGATCTCCTTATGCAGGACAGGTTTGTGGTTTTTCCATGGATTCCAAATTGATTTCTGCGCCTTTTTTTCCTTGTTATTGCTAACTACTGTGCCTGGCTACTTCTAGGATGCAAATTGTGGGAACAC